TTTTTCTTTTCGTATTCAAAAAGGAAACAAAACCAGGAAACTGAATTGCGATGTTAATGACTCTTACATACGTGTTCCTTACCGTGATCTTGGAAATATTCCATTTTTATTTTAGAAACTTTAATGGTCATGCATATTGCATTACTCTTAACAAAATGTAAATAACATTAAGTACTTTACAAGTCAAATTGCTTCATTATTCACTTACGTACGTATTTAAAAAAATTATAAAAAATATTTCTGTAGAAATGTATACATGGAGGAATATGAAGATTGAGTCGATGAAAATGAACAAAAATTATGAAAATAATTTTAACAACAAATTTCTTCATTATTCACTTACGTATGTATTTAAAAAAATTATAAAAAATATTTCTGTAGAAATGTACACATGGAGGAATATAAAGATTGAGTCGATGAAAATGAACAAAAATTATGAAAATAATTTTAACAACAAGCTTCTTCATTATTCACTTACGTACGTATTTAAAAAAATTATAAAAAGATATTCTTGTAGAAATGTATACATGGAGGAATATGAAGATTGTGTCGATGAAAATGGACAAAAATTATGAAAATAATTTTAACAACAAGCTTCTTCATTATTCACTTACGTACGTATTTAAAAAAATTATAAAAAGATATTCTTGTAGAAATGTATACATGGTGGAATATGAAGATTGTGTCGATGAGAATGAACAAAAATTATGAAAATAATTGAGAATTCACTCTTTGAAATGCTGTAATGATCATACATAGGGCTTTGAATATTACAATTTAATTAAACAGGAAAATTGATGAGCTAGAGTTTAATTATATCTTTGTGAAATAATATTTGTTCGTTCAGAAATGTCCTCACAAAGAAAATATCATGGAAATATAATAAAAAATAATAGAAATATTATTTGATAAAAAAGAAGGCCTAATAAATGGAACTAAAATTGAGTAAAAATAAAGACAAATATTTAACAAAAAAATGTGTTGCTTTAGTATAATAAAATATAATAAAATGAATATAAAAATAAATTGCAATAAAAAGGATAAGACATGAATAACGAATATACGAGAGGTAAATGACAGATGTTTCGCAAACCGATTGGCGAACGATTACATTAAAGGCAGTTACCAAAATTCGTTTAATCGGTAATTAATAATCATGCGGCCTCGATGCGAGTTCCGTGCAGGGCTGGAAACATAATTTCGCCGTTGAATGTTCCGTAAACCGCCGACTATCCGCACAATCGTTTCCCAAGTAATATATGTATAAAATTTCCCTGCCCCATCCCACAGTTCACACAAACTTCCATTGCAATCTGTGTGCAGAATGTTTCGCGTAGTTCTCTAATTAACGAAAATCGTAAGTAAGCGACGGGGCAACAAATTAACGCAATTCATCGTGAAACGAAAGCGTTGCTGGATCGTCTGCAACGACAAGCCCGCCTCTATTTACCTGGCTGGAAACCTGTGTACTCGAAGGTTAACCAACAGGTGTTACGTAACGAAATTTCATTAAAAATCCGCACAAAAGAGTTTCGGTGGTGAACGGGCCACTCGAGCGGTGCCAATCACAAGCTTGGACCAACGTTTCTTCGAGTGACCTCCACTTCGAGTTATCGATGGAGCACACTTTTCGACCATCCTTGTTAGCGCGAAGGATGTCGCGTGATTTCTACTCATCTGATATCGATAGATCAATAGGATCAATTTTCCTTTTGTTGTGTGCTGAGAGTACTCAGTTGGATTGAATTTGGGACTTGTGGAATTTCTAGATTTCGGACTTACAATTATTAGGGGAATTGTTAGGGGAATTTTGGACTTTTGGAAGTTGGGATTTTAGGTGGGAGAAATGGTGGGATTTATTTTGGGATGTTGGGACTTGCTTTGAAGTACTGGGAATAGTTTGAGATATTGGGCCTTTAGAATACTGGGACTTGCTTTGGGTCTTTGGAATATTGGGATTTTGGAGTATTGGTACTGAGGAGGATTAGGACTTTCAAGTATTGGCACTGAGGAGGATTGGGACTTTCAAGTATTGGCACTGAGGAGGATTGAGACTTTCAAGTATTGGCACTGAGGAGGATTGGGACTTTCAAGTATTGGCGCTTTGGAGTATTGGGACTCTCAAGTATTGACATTTTGGAGTATTGGGACTTTCAAGTATTGGCACTGAGGAGTATTGGGACTTTCAAGTATTGGCACTTTGGAGTATTGGGACTTTCAAGTATTGGAACTTTAGATGATTAGGACTTTCAAATATTTGGGTTTACTATGTTATATTGGGGTTTCACATGCTAGGAAGTTCAGATCGGTGGTGATTCAAGGTTTGGTCTTTCGAATATTGAACTTTGGGACTTGGCATATGGGACCTGAGACTTGGGATCTGGGACTTAGGACCTGACCCATAGGATTTGGGACAAGGGGCTTGGGTCTTGAGATGTCAAATTTGGAACTTGGGATTTGGGATATGAGACTTAGAACATGAGACTTGGCACATCAATCTTATGACATGGAATTTAGGACATGGAGCTTGGGACATGAGACTTGGCACATCGGACTTGGGACATGGGATTTAAAACATGAGACTTGGAACATTGGATGTGGGACATGGGACTTAGTACATGAGACTTGGGACACGGGATTCAGGACATGACACTTGGGACATGAGACTTGGCACATCGGACTTGGGACATGGGATATAGAACATGAGACTTGGAACATCAGATGTGGTACATGGATTTAGGACATGACACTTGGGACATGAGACTCGAGACATGGGACATGTAACTTGGGACTTGGAACATAAAACTTGACTTTTGGACCATAAATCTTGCAGCAGGAACCTCGAACCTTAAACCTTGAACTTCCAACCTTGAACCTTGAATACCAAACTTTCAACTGCGAGCTGAAAAGTCCTTAGACTTTTAATCTCAGACTTTAGACATTGAAATATTAAGTATTTCAAACTTGAAAGCCTTGTAATCGCGATTCTGAAGCCGCTTTTTACTCGAACCCTCGAAAGCGAGTCTGACTCCACAATCCTCCAAATATTTCATCCCTAACCTCTGTCCAAATTACATCACTATTCTCGTACATCAATATATCGTACTTCAGTACGAACCTTCATTCAACTATCAACGAAAACCCCAAAAGCATCAAACCACCCTTTCCAGCAATGAACACAAATCTAGCACAATCGCACACAGAACCTCAAAATCGATACCATCGATCCCAAATCCTCATCTCCCTATATCAAGCGTTTCCCAAAATGAATCGTACCGTTATCCCTCGATGTCCGAGAACAATGCACACATCGCATAGATTCGCCTAACGGGCAAGAATACGTTCGCGATACCCAGTCCGGAGTTTCGCGTGTTCGAGGGGTGTCCGCGTCCCGTACACATCCAGGCGTTCGAGACAAGGGTGACGCGTCGTGTGGGGGCGAGGGTGGCCCGGTTGGCCTATCGGCTCGGGGTTGCTCGGAATCTATCGGTGGGCCAGATTTCCACCGACACAGTCTCCGGCTTACCGGCACACGCGAGCGATCCTGAAAGACGGGACGGGACACG